ATTAAACATTTTTTGCATTGCTGGCGTGACGTCATCGCCTTATTTGCCTGTCGATACGGTCGATATTTTTTTGACAGTTGTCAATACTTCTCTTTATTATTGATCTCAGGTGGTGGGAATGTTGTAGTTGACACTACAGTAGGGGTGAATTTGCAAATTTTAACAAATCAGACCTTGTAATGATTAAGTGATATAGTTACAGAACCTCCAATTTTAAAGACTAGTGCTCGGATATTTGAACACTTGATCTACAAGGCAAAAGGCAGGTCATTATTCTTCCCACCATAATTAAGCATATAAAAAACTTGAGTAGAGAGATCAAGTTTATAATTATTTTTTTTCGGCAATTCTTTTTTGCTCGAATTTGATTTTAGCTCTCTCTATCTTTGATTCTGAAGATTTTCCTTCCTTCTTAAGTTTCTGTCAGCTTATGGTCTTGGTTTTACACCCTGCTTTTGTACTATCCGTATTCTTTCTTTGTCTAATAACAGACAGTATCTTTTCGGTTTGCTCGATAATCTGACCTGATCTTTAACAGTTTTTTTTCCTATTTTTTTTTGTTGCTCGTGTTCTCCTTATTGTTGCAACTGTTTTCTTTCAAGTGTTGGTATTAAAATAAATTGATTTTTTATTTCAAATATAAGTACAATAAAAGATTACGATCTAAAAAGTAGGGGTCGTAAGTTTATCAGTACAGTAAGTTAGCTATAAGGAGCCTACAGTAGGAAATTTGAGGACGGTATGGTATAGCCGATATAAAAATTATACTTTAAATAAGGTACTGTAAGTGGAGAAATAACATTTACTGCAATATGTTTAAATTGATATACAAAATTTTGATTGACCACTAGCCTAGAAAAATGTCTCAGAATTATAGAAACTTTATTAAACCTCTACTTTTTGAATGCAGGACGACATACCACACAGTTCTGGTAAAGAAACTGGTCCACACTACAAGCCTCTATTCAAATTTAACGCCGTTTTACTCAATTCAGCTGAATACGAACTACTATTTTGACGCATTATCGGAAGTACTGTACATTATGCTTAATAAGGACTAATCTCTTGTTATCTTACTAAATTTCTCTAGAAGTTTTTTTTTCACTTACTTTTTAAACTCTTTTTTGTTTCACCAGTAACGATTGCGATATCTTCCAAGTTAATCTTCAACACATCTTTTACAGTATTTTTTGACTCTGTCAAGTCGAGGTATTCCAATAAAGATCCATATATAAAAACTGTGCAAAGCAGCCCTTAAATTTGTAAAACAGATCAAAAAGACTTAATCCTGAACAAGTGAAACTAGCTATCAAACACTCTGCAAAACGGTATTTGCCAGAAAATTTTATAAAGAAAATGTTAAAATGCGTAATAAGCGATCTTGAACAGTTCTTTACTGATATTTTATGAATGATTGAAGGTTTTAGTAAACCGCGTACGTCACTCAACGTTGATTTCTGAACTTACTTATAACGTGAGTGTGAGGCTGAGTTAAAACGCAAAGTTTTTTTGCAAAAAGAGCGTAACACGGGTACAAAGTGTTTTGGAAATCTTTCTTTTCGTACGGCAAATTATATCAGAAAAATGGCTTGATAATCACCTGTTTACGCTAATTCTCTTTTTTTTGTCTCTGTACTAGGAAAAAATTGCAATTTGATTTTAAAAAATAAGAATATCTAGTCAGCTCAGGAAAAGGTAACTTCAGAAGATTTAAGGTGGAATTTGAAAGTGTCAAGCACCTCACGCTGGTTTAATGAACTGAAACAGCCTTCACGCACTTTAAATTTTCTGTTGAAATACAAGGGTAAATATGAAAGGGTGAGCGCATTTAACAGAATCATTATTTTAGATGATATTCAAGTGCATCAAAAGTACATTTGAAAAACTTGCGCAGCTTATAGAATAAAAACCTCAAAAAAATATTCGTGACAAATGAAACCTTCAAGAAGGTTCTTACTTATTTATATATTTATCAAAGATATGTAAATAATATTCGGTTATAACAACAAATAATGAGTAAAAAAAAACGAGAAGATTAATTTTTTAAGTCTGGCAGCGCTATCAAAATGATAAAAACAAAATTGATACAGTTTCCAAATTTTGTTTCTTAAAAGTGAATAGATTTTATTACTTTCTGAAAATCTTTAGAATATATTATATATAGACGCTGGAGCTGGTGTGCTAGAGACACAACGAAAATAGGTCTAAATTTTTGGTATCTGAACTCAGCTTTTATGCTGCAAATTACCTCCATATCAAGATTTGAAGTTTGTAGACAATTAGAACATGGGCCGCTTATAACATGTAAATTAAAAACCGCACGTAGTTGGTGAAAATAGGCAACTATATTCGTTTCTTTATATTTCTGACGTAGCCAAGCTTGTCGTCCTCCAGTTGCTTATAATATGTCTTACCAATAATCTGTTTAGAACGTAAAAAAACTTGCATATTATAAGGCAATTCATTAACCGACAAACCAATTAGAAGCTTGTAAATTATGACATTGAAACTGCTTCTAAGTAAACAATACCATTTAGCTGTTGACAGAAATCTAACTGACTTGTGGAACAAATCATAAAACTCAAGCATAAGAATTAAAAAATCTGGCTCACCGTCTGATAACAGAACCGAAAAACTAAACTTGCTATAGAGCTTGAATAAATAGCCAATTACACTTAGAAAACGAATAAAGCTAATGGAATATAGCTTTTCAAAAGCTAGCAATTTTAAAAAATTTTGAGACTAAACTTTAATACTTAAACCACGTAAGAATTTTAGCTTGTTTTTTTTAGCGAATTAATAAATCTAGAAAAAATGTTGCTATAAAGATATCAAACCTGGTTTCTCGTGAGTTAATCGGTTCAAATGAGTTACTCTTCAGCTTTCTTAGCAAAGCAGATAAGGAAAAAGCACAGTTGGAAAGAAAATCAGCCTACGCTGTATAGAGCAATAACAATCAGTGATAAAACTCTTGAAAAAACATTTACGCAAACTATTATTCGCAATGAAAATTTTTCTAAAATTATCTCAGACAGATTTTTAGCAATAAAACATAGTCGGCAATGTACGGCAGAGTCAGTGACAAATTTTAAAAAGTACAGTCTAATGCTTTAAGCATATCTGTTAATTCTTTGAATGTACTCGAAAAAAATTTATTTCTTGTTTTTTTGTGCCATCTTTTCATCTGAATTTCTACTTCTTTTTTTGTCTAATCTTTCTTCAAAAATTGCCAAAATTTCATTTGAAGATCAAAAACCACATGAGGTCAAAGACGGGTGAAGCGTAAATAGTTTTTGTCTAGGTATTTGAAAGTTTTTTGAAAGTTAGAAAACAGAGCATTTTTGGCTTAATAAAGCGTTGTTTTTTGTCAGCCGCTATCTGTCTGCTCTTGTTTCCATGTTTCCACAAATTTGGTTTTCTTTTGAAATATATTTTCTACGACAATTTAACTTTGAACTATTTGGTTTAAGCGGCCACTTTTTCTAAATCTTCCGGGTTTTACTTGCAGAACTGTCATATATGGATGCTTCAAAAAACACACCATAATTCCTAAAAAATTGTTACAGTGGCTCATGTGAGGTTATTTCTTTAATGCAGCACAGTTAGTTGTAGTTATTGTTGAACAAGTGACCATACTTAATACACTGTTTTTCGTTGAAACATAAGCCCACACTCTGTAAACACTAAAAAGAACCTATTTGCTTTGTTCCTGCCTAAGTGTGAACACGTCATTTGAGTATGTGTATATAAAGACCGACATTTATAGCTAATCTTTCTCCAAAGTTACTGCCAAGTTTTACGCTTTAGTAGGTAACCCGAAAAACTGTTTGTCGCATTTTACCTATATCTCACACCTGTTTGCAAAATAAGTGTTAAAAAGAAACAGATGGTGCAATAACAGCTCTGTTTTAACCTATCTCAAAATAACTGCTTAAACGTTAGCCTGTTTGAGGTAAAAAAGCAAGGCAACTTGTGCAAAAAATGTTAGGCGATTGAAAAAAAAATTTTCTTACAGGTTGAAATAATTACCTTTAACACTTAAGGTTTACAGTGTTACCACGTTTTCAAGTGATCCTTAACACAGCATTGTATCTCTTAAAAACTGTTAAAATAGTTGGCTCGATAAGAAACCGTGTGAAGACATCATTTTTTGTTGTTTGCAGTCCACAGCTGTCTTACTGATATTATTTCAGATGTATGCAAACACGAGCTTCTCTATTCTCTTATTATTGCCATTCAATGCTTTAATAATGCTTGAGCCACGACTTAGTACTCCTGTTCTGTGTTAAGTACAACAATTACCAAAACCTTTTCAAGCTTAAAGTAATCAAACTATAAACAGTGAAAGCAATATTTCAGGTAAAAATTTTTCTGTTTCACTAGTTCATTTTTGATTCATATTTTTGAAACTTCTGGTCACCATAGAAAAAGATTTTTTCAACTTTTGAAAACTGTAATTTAAAGCTTTTACATATCCAAGTGCGAAATTTCAGTTTTAAGCCTCATTTAACAGTGCCAGCTTTCAAAAAGCTATATTCTACTAGCTTTACTTATTCTTTAATAGCGTTTGCTTGTTTATTCTAATTCATATTACTAAGATTCTTCTGCTAAGTTTTCATATTTAGGGTTCTAATCCTTTCTTGTAGCAATTTCGAAAAAATTAAAGGAAAAAAGAAGTGACGATATGAAATATGTGCTATGATAAGCTATCTGTGAGGATCACTAAGTGAACTTCAGGGACAAATGTTGGCTGTCGTCAAAATGCCGCCAATAAGATAAGCGCAATAAAAAACTCGGCTCTTCCCACAATTTTTGCAGCTTATTAAGCCAATTCTGACTGGCGAGTTGGTATATATTAAATGGTGAGAAATGCAACAAATATTTAACACTCCGGAAAGCAGATAAAAAAACTAATCATAAAATTTCATAGTAAACAATTTTGTGAATCTGCATATATACGTTCTCGGGTTGTTCTAGGTACACCTGTTGTTTATTTCTGCGTTTGAATTCGGTTTCTTCATTTTATTTTTTTCTTTTAACTATTACTTTTGATCTGCTTCATGTTTCTTTAAAGCAACATTAGGCTAACAGTTTTTTCTAAAAATTTTTTAAAATTCTCACTTTTAGTTTAAAAGTATTAATGCATATGCCTTTTCGTTTCACTTTAAAAGTAATTTGTACCTGCACTTTATGACTATAGACTGACTGGAAATGTTAAAGTTACTTTTTTTTTGAAAAGTTCTTAAAGAGAAAATAAATTTACATTTTGCTGTACTTCAATTCTCACTTTGTTCTTGGAGGCGGAGCCCCAATAATACTGCAGTTTCTTGGTGACTTGCTAATCTTTACCCACTGCAGATCTCGTTTTGGAAGATTTTGATAAGTTTTAATTTAAGTACCGATTACAAAATTGGCATTCTCTTTTTCACGTTAAGAAAAAACCTTTCGCTTTTTGCTTTTTTGAAATATGACCAAACAAAACTACAAAACTTCTGAATATAACCCAAAGACTTCAAGACTACAAGCAATGATCTTTTTTGTAGTGGAAACTGCTTTTCTTTGAAGTGTCAACAACTAATGTCTAGTGTCTGTTTAGGCTTGAACTCGCAAATGATCATTTGTTTTGAAGACTTTGCTCGACTAATAACAGAAAAACTTTCTGACTTTTATAAATGCTCTGCATTCCCATTAATTCTATTAAGTTCAGCTTTATTTAATCTTAGTTGAAAAAGTTCCGCTTTTAACATATTCTTTGAAGAATATATTTCCTAACTCTCATCTCTGTGTGATAACAATTTTATGCGTCTTCTTTTCTTTTTGCTGCCGTCTGCAACAGTTCCCCCCTGAAAACGTCACCTTCAGATAGGGCCGTATTTTTACCAAAAATATATCTTAGAGAGTAGTACCTGTAGAGTGCTTGCAGAAGAGCATTTTCTAGAGATTTCTAATGATAAATGATAAATTTACGGTAAGCTTGCTTTTGCGCATCTTTCTTCGTCTTTTGGAAACATTACCTTGAGCAATAAGCTGTAAGCAAGAGCGTTTTAAGTACATTTTGTTGCGGTTGTGTCTTTAAGCCAACTAAGGTACTTTCGTAGTTGTTGCATATGCGTAATACGTATATCGACAAAACTTTACATGTCGGGTTTCTCGTTTTGGATTTCTTAAAGATTTTCACTT